AGAGATTCTGTTCCATCTTTGTTGTTGTTATTTTCAAATAATGTTTTGATTTTTGTCTTAATTTCATTGTTTACTCAGAAGTCATTCAGGGGCAGCTTGTTTAATTTCCATGTAGTTGTATGGTTTGGGGAAATATTCTTTGTATTGATTTGTATTTTTATTTTGCTGTTCTGAGAGAGTATTTGGCATTATTTCTGGTTTTATGAATTTGCAAAGGATTGTTTTTGGCCTATTGTGTGGTAGATTTTAAAATATGTGCCATATGCAGAGGAGAAGTCTGTTTTGTTTGAAATTAGAATAGCAACATCTACTTTTTTCTGTTTTTTATTTGCTTAGTAGATTTTCTCTATCCCTTGACTTACTTTGAGCCTATGGGTGTAATTGCATTTGAAATGGATCTCTTAAAGACAACCTACCATTGTGTCTTGCTTCTTTATCCAACTTGCCACTCTGTTCTTTTGCTTGGGAAATTTATCCCATTTACATTCATTTTAATATTGTTATATGTGAATTTGATCCTATAATCATGTTGTTGGCTGGTTGTTATGCAGACTTAATTGTGTGGTTGCTTTATAGTGTCAATGGTCTATGGGATTAAGTGTGTTTTTGTGGTGATTGGTAAAAAAATTTTTCATGTTTAGCACTTTCTTAAGGACCTCTTGTAAGGCAGGTCTAGTGGTAATGAATTCCCTTGGCATTTGCTTGTGTGAAAGGATCTTATTTCTCCTTTGTTTATGAAGCTTAGTTTGGCTGGATATGAAATTCTTGGTTGAAATTTCTTTTTTTGTTTTTAAAGAATGCTGAACATAGGCCCCTAATCTCTTCTGACCTGTAGCATTTCTGCTGAAAGGTCTGCTGTTAGCCTGATGGGGTTTTCTTTGTAGATGATCTGTCCCTTCTCTCTATCTGCCTTTTACATTTTTTCTTTCATTTTGACCTTAGAAAATCTAATATCTATGTGTCTTAAGGATTGTTGTCTTGTATAATATCTAGCAGGGGTTCTCTGCATTTCCTGAATTTGAATGTTGGCCTCTGGTGAGGTTGGGACATTTTCATGAATGAAATCCTGAAGTATATTTTAGATGCTGCTTGCTTTCTCCCCGTCTCTTTTGGGATACCTATAAATCATTAATTTGGTCTCTTTACATAATCCCTTATTTCTCAAATGGTCTCTACATAATCTCATATTACCCTTTGAGAAATTCATTCTTCACTATTCTTTATTGCTTTTTTCTTTATTTCTGTCTGCCTGAGTTATTTTGAAGAACCAGTCTTCGAGCTCTGAGATTCTTTCCTCAGATTGGTCAATTCTGCTTTTTAATATTTACAATTGTATTCTGAAATTTTTGAAGTGAATTCTTCAGCTCTATCAGATAAATTTGTTTCTTTCTTAAAATGGCCATTTCATCTCTTATTTTCTGTATTGCCTCATTGTATTCCTTAGATTTCTTGGATTGGGTTTCAACTTTCTCCTAGATGTCGTTAATCTTCACTCCTATCTATATTAGGAACTCTATTTCTGTCATTTTAACTCTTTCAGCCTGGTTAGAAACCATTGCTGGGGAACTAGTGGTAAGAAGACACTCTGGCTTTTCAAATTGCCAGAGTTCTTGCTTTGGTTCTTTCTCATCTGTGTGGGTTGATGTTCCTTTGATCTTTGAAGTTGCTGTCCTTTGGATGAATTTTTTGCTTTTATCTTCTTTGATGACTTTGGGGGTTTGATTTTAATATTGGTTGGGTTCAATTGATGGTGTTTGCTTCTGGAAGATTTAGGAGGCCAAGGTTTAGCTCAGCCCTCCTAGTCTGCATGTTCTAACTATTGGGAGCTGGTACTGGGACCCCAACTTTTTTGTCTGGACTCTGGAGGTTAGGAATCTGCTGTACTGGAGGTGCCAAGGTACTCCTGGTCTGCCAGCTACACAGCACTCTGATGGGCTGTAGTAGCAAAAGCATTTCACTGGGGCTGTGGGATCTGTGCCTGCTCAAGTATGCTAGCCCAGCAGGGTGCACACACATTGGCTGGAGTGGAGTATAAGTGGAAGCAGGGTTGCAGTGTTCTGTGTGCTCATTCTGGCAGTGCGGCACAGGCAGGGGCAAGTTGCCAGTGTTTGTGCTCACATTTGTGCTAGCAGCAGTGGGAATGGGGTGCTGGATGGTGTGGGGCTGCCAGCCTCCATGTTTGTGCTGGTGACAGAACTGGACCAGGGAGGCAGGGCCACTGGTGTTTGTGCATGCATTCACATTGGTGGTGGTGGTGCAGGGAGAGGTGGGGTTACCAGTTTCTTTGTCATGTTTATACCAGCAGTGGAAGTGCTCTTGCACACAGGGGTGGGGACAGGTAGTTGTGTTCACATCACAGTAGTAGTATAGTTGGGTATCCTATCTCCTGCAATCATGGGTCTTTGAGGCAGAAGATATTAGGTTCAAGCACAAGTAATGGGAAAATCCGCAGTTACTTCTGCGCCAACCTATACTTTTGTGATCACAGAAAGTCTGCCTTCCTCTTTACAGAAGAGAAAATCAAAGCACAAAGAGTTGTATTGCCTTTGCCAACTCATCTGCCAGGTGCCAGAGTCAGGACTAGACCCCAACTATTTTTATATATTACATTGACCTTTTTTTTTTTTTTAATTAGGAGAGAGGAGTTTTTATCGTTTTTGTGTGTTCTGGATATTTATTTATTAGACAAAAATGTTCTAATTAAGATGTTTTAATAACTATGTTCTAATAACTATAGCTTAATAACTATCTATGTTCTAATAACTAAGATGGCATTTTAGAAGCATAGAAGAAATTCTCACATAATGTTGCTATTTCCTTCATATTACTGTTTACTATTCATTAGTCTATACTTTGCCAGTCCTTTCTCCAGCTGCAGTGTTCTAAGCCTCTAAATTTTATTTTGTCTACCTAGATTTTTAGCACTATAACTCAAGTATATGGTGCCTTTGATATTTCATGCCAACTCTGGCACGACTAAAATTATATCAAGATTTGTAACAGAATGCTTGTGGGATTTCTCTATTTTAAAGTCCTTGAGTTAACAAATTGGTAAAAAAGCAATAGGATTTGCTCACCAACTGGATGTGGTGTGTGAGAAAGGAGAAATGAAGATGACTTCAAGGGTTTTACCTTGAGAAACTAGAAAAATGAGCAAGTCTAGGGGTAACAGGATGGATGAATTGGGGTTTAAAAAAATGGAGTGAAAATTAGGAGCTCACACTGGGTATCAGATGGCTACCAAATATCTCAATGGAGATGTCAAGCATGGCCACAATGAACTGGAGTTCATGGAATATCTTGGTGGACACGTTAAGTTTGGAAGTCATTAGAGATAGTGTTTTATCTTTGTGTTCTAATTTATTTATTTATGTTCTTTTAATTATTTCCTCTTTTACTTCCTTCAAGTTTATTCTGTTATTGTAACTTCTTAATTTATATATTTAGTCCATTAATTCATACACTTTATTTTTCTAATATAACTATTTAAGGTTATAAATTCACTTTTAAGAGTTGCTTTAGCTCTATTTTATTAGTTTTGAAATTTTAATATTTTCATTGCTATTTAATTAAAAATTATCTAATTTCACTTTTAATTTTTTTGAAGAGCCTATTTGTTTGCTTTTTTAAAAAGAATTTTTTAAAACAAATTTTTGTTTAAATTAACTTAATTGCACTGTGGATAGAGAACATGGTCTGTATGGTATCCGTCCTATAGACTCTGTCAAGGATTGCTTCATGGATGTCAATTTTTCAAAATGTCTCACATGTACTTAAAAATAATACGTATTTTCCTATTGCTAAATATAGTTTTACTTGTATTAAGTACATTACATTTTCAAATTTGATTGTTCAATTCATTTTTATTTTTGCAGATACTTAAGTTTGGTGAATCCATCAACTACCAAGAAGTATGTGAAAATCTCTTATGATGGTAGATTTGAAATTTCTCCATGTTTATTCTGTTACCTTTGCTTTAATACATTGAAAGGCTTTGAAACTAGGCACATATTCTGAATTCTATTTCTGTCATTTCAGTCCCTTCAGCCTGGTTAGGAACCATTGCTGGGGAACTAGTTTCTCCTCTAGAACCCAACTTTTACTTGTTGAAGGCCCTAGCTCTCAAACCTTGGCTGTTTTTCTTTCTTGTATTCTTTTAAAGTTATTTCATGAAATACCACTGCTTCAATACTCTATGTAAGCTATAACTCTCAAATATGTATCTACAGCCCAGTCATTCCTTCCAAGTTCCAGGCTTACATACTTAACCCATGCCTGAAATGCTTCACAAAAGAGCTGACAAACATCTGAACCATCTAAAGCAAACATGTCCCAAAGAAGTTCCTTAGTTTTTCCATCCAGTGTGCTTCTTTCCAAACAGAATCATCTCTGCTCAAACTCCAAATTTAGAAATCATCCTTTATTTCTCTCTTTTTCTCATCCCTGAATGTAATCTATCAACAAGTCTTGTTGGTTCTATACCAAAATATATCTCAAGTCTGTCTGCTTCTCTTTATCACCACATCTATACCACCACTCTGATGCTAGCCAGATTTTCAGGAGGACAGAACTTCAGTATTTCGTTTACTCTTTCTTTTTAGTCAATTTTTTTGGGTAGAAATTAAGTTGAAAAAATCTCATTTCTACTCTGTATTCTGTATTCTACATGCTTACATTCTTACAGATTTTCTTTTGCAGAGAAGCAACTATGCATATATACACATCAAACAGCAGCTTCCATCCCAACATTTGGGTGCTTACACATCCTGTGTTTGCATATGTACATCTGTGAGTGCACATTTCTATATCAGGAAGGAAGTAGACTGCATATTTACTCTCTAGAAATTATGAGCAACAAAGAGCAACTTTGTGAAAAGCAGTTTTGAAATCCTGTTGTTATAAGTGGGCGCTAAACAACAGGTACACATGGACATTCAGAGAATAGACCCTGGAGTCTAAAAGGAAGAAGGATGTGACGGGAGAGAGGGTTGGAAAATTACCTGTTGCCTCCATTGTTCACTATTTGGATGACAGGTACACTACACTAAAAGCCCAGACTTTACTGCTACACAATATATCCATGTAACAAAATTGCACTTGTACTCCTAAATCTGTAAAAAAAAAAGAAAGAAAGAAACAGAAATGCTGTTGTAAGACTTACAGGCTAGACAACAACAGCTTTCAACAATGAGAAGAGGAAGTTAAATCTGAAGTATACTTGGTCCCAATGTAGCCGGGTTAGAATTTCCTTAAAAATATTTTATAAATATAAGAATGTAATATTCCAGAATTAATGTGTGAGAACTTTAAAAAATATTTTATAATAGTTATTTATTGACATCCTCAATTAATACATCTTGGTTACAACTACACATGTATACACATTAAAGAGCAACTTTCACTCCCATTTCCTTTATAATTTGATTCCTTCCAATTAATTTTCATTTTTTTCCAAATAATGTCTAATGGTCCCAATGTCTAGGTATAGCATGAGTGCATAAAAAAATAGGAGCAGTATATTTTTAAAGTAATTTCCTATAGCTTAGAAAAAACAGTCAAGTAATATTATAAATTGAATTCAACTGAGATATGTGGCACATTCTTAAATCAGATCCATTGGTAAAAATAATTGAAATCTATTGGTAACTTTAATTTCTATCTCATTAATTAAGTAAATATTTTGGGTAAAAGAGTAGACGATATAATTCTCTATTTTACTTTTTGTCATGATAGGCAATTATGGTCTGAGATTTTAGAGCAGGTTAGAATTAGATTAGATTAGGCTCTATCTGACTGAGTCTGGGCTTCACAACACTTATCCCACAGTCTTTGGCTCTCAACTCCTGGTGAAACTGCCAAGGGCTCATTTTACTTCCTTTACATTGGTTCTGAATCTCCACTTAATGGAAGACTACCCTGGAAGCTAGTCAAAATAAGGCTGAATTTATAGGTTGTCATATAGCTTGGACCCACCTGATATTTCCACTGCTTTTAAAACCTCTTATTAACTAGTTGGCCGAAGCTAGAAAGTGAATCTCAAATTCAATGCTACATTCAAGTAAACTTTTTGTTTTGGCTAACTTGTTACATTTCACCTTTACCCAATTTAGTAATGGCATTTACAGCTACTTGAGTTTCTAGAGCTGCAGAGATTCTCAAAAATTGGAATATTTTATAATTTTAAAGTATTTTAAATATTTTTATCTTTTTTTGAAATGTCAAGTAGGGTAAACACAATTCTAACTAAAAACTTTGGCTTTAAGAGAAAGCAAAGAACATTTCAGTGCACATCAGTTTTCAGTATGAGAGGTTAAAGGGAATGATGCTTTAAGGATAAAGTTACCTGCTTCCTCCTAAATCTTCCAGTTTGAAATAAATGTGATATTATACATTGTAGTCGAACTTTAAAGACATTTTAATTGAATTTAAACAGTTGTGAAAGAGCTTATACAGTTCCCAAATTCATATATTCCTCTAAATCTGCTAAAATCTGTTTGTTTCCCCCAAATTGAACTAAGTGGAGTACTCATTTTCAAAGTGCTTTTGGGGCAACATGTATGGGTAGAGACCACAATGCTCCAGTCATCGCTGAAGTGCACAGGATTGGGCACCTTAATGAGTATAGGATCATGAATCATTTTCTGAATGAATCTTTCTAACTCGATGTGTATATGTGTGTATGTAGAGATTTCATAGGAACTTTCACTCTCTGCATTGTAAATGTTCTTATTTTTTAAAATGCTTAAATTATTTCACAAGCACAAGAATACAAAGAAGCATGTTGCATGGCATTATCTTTTGAGGCCATCAATTTACACATCTCTTTCAAGGATCATGTGTCCTGTTTAGGCAAATGAGATAAGACATTCAGGATTCCGGTATGTATATAGTGGAGAATATCTGTAGGAATTTCTCCTTTATGATTAAGTGCTCCTTCTTGGGCTAGTTCCGGCTTCTCATAACTCTAGATTTGCCTTCTCTCCAGTTCATCTCTTAAATTGCTGAATATATATATATATATATGTATATACACACACATACATATACATATATACGTATACATATATATACGTATGTATATGTATATACGTAGATATACATACATGTATATATATACATATATACGTATATATACATATGTATATATACATATACGTATATATATTCTTTTATATATATATATAAGTACACACACACAGATATAACTGTGCCAATTTTTTTTCATACTTAATTATTTCAACAGTCTGTAAACTTGGAATGATTTCCTAATATGACAAATTAGAAAATGGAGAATCAGATAGTAAATGATGGCTGGATTGGTATTACAATCCACATCTCTGTGTCTCATTATAGATAGTGTCTCTTGTTTTCTTCCCAGGGAATTGGAACTTGTGGATCTACAGGAGTCTCACAACATAAAAATATTCTGACAGTTTTGAACTTGAATATTAAAATGTTTAGATAAATTTTAGTTTGCTAGTTAGATGTGTGCATGTGTAATATAAAGTACAAAAGAAAGGTAATTGTATTATACTTCTTCACTCCTTTCTCCATTACAAATCATTGTAATGGAAAAGAAAATGGCATCATCAGACGAGCTTTGTTATAAAAATACATCTTCTCCTTTTTGAAATAAGTATATATTCAGAAATACACCTGTCAATATAGTGTCTGGAACAAAAGGGAAACAATAAAATCTATAATGATACATGAATATAATAATTGTTAGATTGAATAATATAGTATTATAGAGCTTGACATATTTCCCAATCAAAAAATATATATATCTGATATAAATATTTAGATTGTATCATATAGAAATGAGTTAACTGTCATATTAACCTCTAAAAAAGGGATTAAGAGATTCAATCTCTGAATGGAAGATTTCTTTCTTTTAAGGCTCCTGAAACTGAAATTTTGAAACCACTATGAAAATTTAGCCCAACTCCAATATCTTTAAACAAATAATGGGTGAAAACACATATAATTTTATAGTTTAAAACCTTGAGATGTACATGACAAATCAGCAGACTGTAAGGTTTGCTCAGTACCGTGTAAAGAAATGTATTTTGAAAGATGTGCTCAATAAAAGCGAGCATTATATAAAACCAACTCTCTTCATGTTGAGCTCAGTAGAACTTCATTACAAGTAAGGTTCACTAACATGCTATTCCAATACTGCCTTTTCTCAAGTTATTAATATTTACCTCTAGTATACGACTACCAGAAAATGAAATTTTATCACAGTAAAATTTTTTTATCACAGTAAAACACAGCAGTGCTTTGAAGTGTTTTCACTTTGGTGTCTTGAGAAAATGAACTCCACCTAGCTGTGCACACAGAGTGCCTACCTACAAAAGTATTTTTACGCATGCATGGAATATGAAAGAAATCAGTGATAGGGTAAACTAGATGGGCATTCTGATAGCCAAGAGAAAACATGACTTTCAGGTTTTAATGAACAAAAATCTAAAACGACAATCATAAGCAAATATCAAGGCCAACTTCTATCAAATAAGAAATTGAAGCAAATAAATGAAAAAAAAGGAATACCAACTATAAAACATGCTATTTAGCCAATGGAAACATGACATTGTTTGAGTCTAGAGGTGCAACAATATATTACAAATTCTATCTTTATTTTTATTTTGAGAAATTGATTTCTGGCCTTCTGATTTAATACACACAGAAGACGCTTAGGCCTCCACTCATTGTAGTATATATTTCACTCTTTTTTCTCAGTAATTTTATCTTGTCTTCTACTAGTCCCTCCTCTGATAACTTGTGCAGAAAGTGCCACTTTAAAAATAAGTTATTTAGTGTACTATTTTATATATATTAAATATCTCTTGGCCATCTATATGAAAAATAATACTAGTTAAAATTAATGGATCATCAAAATGCATTATCAAGAGAAGAATAAAAGGAACTTGAATAGCAAGATAAAATTATTGTCAATTATATTCCTGTAAAGTTACTTAAGAAGTGAAATGTTTAACTTGTAGCAAGTTTTCTGACAGTATTCTGTCAGAGAAACTTACAGAGAAATAAGTTAGGGCATACCACATTCAATTCAATAACTAGCTAATTGTTTTTGTTTAGTAAGAAGTAGATAATAGTGACCGCTGATGAAAATGCTTGTCATATATCAATGTAATCTATTCCATGATGTAAAATGCTGTCTATTATAGTGTCTTGTTGCTTTAAAAACTACCTTGTAATACAGGGAAATACATACAGGAGTAGAAAATGATCAATCCAAACAATTTATTCCTTAATTATTACTTTACTATTGACTATTACTTAGAATAGAATATAAAAGCCCAAAGACAAGGCATATTGTTTTTTTTAAGTTGACCAAAGATTTAATCATCAAATAAGCATTAGAAAATAAACAGAACCTTGTAAATTCAGAAACCCATGTGGTCCAGTCTCAGAGTTCTGTCCCAGGAGAGAAAGCAATTCAACAAAAAAGGCAGTTGAAGTATAACTCAAATTCTTTACTTGAATTTTTCAGATATAAAAATTCAATATACCACATCATAATCTCCCATTTTCTTTTTTATTTATTTGTTTATTTACTTTTTAAAATCCAAAAATAATAATTGTGTATATTTATGGTGTACATGATGTTTTGATATATGTATACATTGTGGAATGGCTATGTCAAGCTAGTTAACGTATTTGTTACTTCACATCCCATTTTCTTTATTATCAAATTCCTTTTTACTCTCCACAACCCGCACACTACCCACAAATCTCCTTTCTCATCTTTCTCTTGTTTAGCTTCCTAGGCTCTGTTCCTATACACCCTCTTCTTTTTTTGTATGCAAGAAAACTTAGCCTCTGTGTAAATCAACTTAGCTTCTTTCTCAGCCAATGAAAATACTTTTCCTTTGGGTGTTAGGAGAAGGAAAATGGAGTAGGTGTGGGGATGAAGGAAGCCTGTAAACACTCACATGTGAATACATTTTGATTCATCATAGGGCAATGTACTATTAGAATATATAAAATAATCTGCGATGCCTTAATGTAAGTTCACTAACATCTGTTCCTGACAGAGGCAGCCATATAAAATGTGCATTCATAATATTTTAAAAGTTCATCATAT